GTTGCGTCGGGAACGAAGAGGACATTATTCAGGGTAGCCACGACATCGTTATCCTGATTGTGGAATATCACCTCCACGACTCCCTCCCCGTGCGCGAGCATCGTCACATATTTCTTCCCGAGAGAAATCCTCTGTGGTTGTGTGAACTCAGTGTACGACAAGAAGAACCTCCGATTCCAAGTCAAGTGCCTTGAAGCGCCACTATAACAGTACCAGCGATCTGCTTTGATACCATCCGCCGCGGCCTTCAGACATGGCAGCACTAGGAGCGAAGTTGGAGTATCCACCTTTGGATCCTCTGGACATTCGGCTGCCCAGTGGCCCAACTTTTTACATCGACGGCATGGAAATTTCTACTTGAGCCTCTCCTTGCCATTCGACTTTTCTTTATCGTTTGACTTCGACGTCTTCTTCGGCCGAGACGCATTCTGAGCTGCGAATTTTTTCTCCTTCTCTCGTGACGTGACAAGCGCAGTTTGGAACGCCTCGACGGAATCCAATCCTGTATCCCTCAGCTCCATGCCGGACAGCTTCTCGATGAGCAAATTCACCGTTTGTTGTTTTTCCGGTATGGTGTCCCACAAGTCTTTGAAGTGATTGTATTCTTTTCCAAGAGTTGACAGGATACGACCATTTAGGATCCTTTCGGACAGAATACTTTCCTTGTGCTAGGCAAGCTCGTCGTTCAGATCAGCGAACAATTTTTGCAGTTTTACAACGTGGACATTCATGTCCTCGGAGTCCAAGCGTCTTGCCTGGAAGAAATTCTCGATCAGGTTGTTCAGCCGGGCGGAGCTACTCCTTTGGAAGCGAGCGCAGAGTTTGCTCCAGATATCGTCGGCTTCCCCGCACGTGAGCGCGAGATCAGACACTTGTTTGCTCATGGCGACCCCAATGAGACTAGCGGCCCGAGCGCTTCCTTTCTTCCAGTACGACACGTATTCTTCCTCAACCTCAGTAGGTTCGTCCTTGTTCTCGAACGTAGGACGCATCTCATGACCATCCATGACCCATTCCAGGCCATGATAGCGAAGCAGCAGGCCCATCTGCCACTTCCAGTACGGCCAGTCATCGACGCCCTTCAGCTTTTCAATCTGTACCTTGAAATCTTTGACAGTCATCACGATTCACGACTTTCGGATGTTAGATGCCCAGTTAGAAGTATGCATGACCCATAACCTGATGAGAAAATAAGCAACAGAAGCAAATATCTCTAGACTTCGACAGACACAAGCAATGACACGTCTGCTCCTGGTTCTGACCAAACCTTAAGCCTTTCGTTATTCTGATAGGTTTTCTCGGCTATCTAGCCTACTAGCTCTGGCTGCGGCGAGCTCGAATCGATGCTGTGCTCGATACAACTGGGACAGCGGCTAATAAAGACGAGCACTGCTTGGTGTGAAATACCAGAGGCTCCCCCACTAGTACTGATCTTTATTATGCCTTATATAGTGCTGGAAGGAAAGGGGCAAGTCTGTAACCCGTCCACAGCAATTATGACGGTCACTGAACTTACCTACACTAAGTTACAGAATACTGAAGTCATTCTTCCAGCGTCCGGTCTGGACACCGTAAGTCAACTCATGGTCATTAGAATTTTTCTGGGTAGCTACTTTATCCCATCATATTCTTCATTGAATTAACACCCAATATATCAGCCAGGCTGCCTTTCTCTCTCAATAGCGAGCTCAGCCGACATGCTCGCCGATAGTTCTCGGCAAAATCCCCCAAACTCAAAGTTGCTTATCACTCATGTCTACGTCGCTATCGCGCGGCGGTTAGGGATACACGTTCCTCCTTCACTCGTCGCTTGCTCGCTATAGCGGGATCCTCCCCCAGAAGGCTCTGGTCTATCGTAAATCAGGAGTCGGGTCGCGCGCCCAAAGCGGCGTCGCTATTTGCAAACTCTTCCGCTTCTCGGGAGGACAAGGTAAAGGTGCTAAATGACTTCGCGAGCTTCTTCGCTTCGATAGGTGGCCGCACGGCTGCCTCCTGCCGCGATGCCTCGCCTGACTCCATGCCGACCGGCCACACTCGTTGCCGTGTAGCCCCATCCGATCCCATCTTCTCACTCAAGTTCATTGACCCGCTCCGGCTCCCCTTTCTTTGCAAGGACATCAAATCGTCCTATTCTTTTTCGCTATCATCTGTGCCATCCAAGGTCATTTGCCTCTCGATCGACTACCTGGCTGTCCCCATTGCGTACCTGTTCAATCTATCGATTTCTCTTCACACTTACCCCGCTGCATTCAAACTGTCGCATGTCGTACCGGTATTCAAGGGAGAGGGTTCGAAGTCTGACCCCTCATGCTACGCCCTATCAGCCTCACTCCTCTCCTCTCGAAACTCTTCGAGAAATGTGTATACGTCCAATTGAATGGACATTGTACTCCATCAATTTGATTGATTTATGCCCCATTTCTAAAGAAACCCCGACTGCGAGGGCGCGATCGCTGGAGACTATAGGACGCTTCACACCTGGGGTGTGGATGGCTTCGCCTCCCTTCTCTCCCATCTTTCAAGAATCCGCTTAGTATCGTTAATGACTCGCCTTTCAGACTCCTCATGTAACCCAAGCCTTTTTTGAATCTCATCGTCACCGCATGTCTTTTCTTGGCATGCCATCAGGACGTGCTCCAGAGTTTCCTCCTGACCACAAATCCTGCAACTCGGGTCAATCTCTTCGAATCGTGACCTGAATTTCCTGGTTCTGAGGAAGCCGGCTCTCGCTTGTGCGAGCAATACACTTCCTCTGCTATTGTCGTATATGTGGTCAATGGTACCGCATTGTTGTTTGTGTTTTCGATACCTTGCGAGGCTGGACTTTTCGTTCATGCCATCTCTCCATTCTTGATGGACTAAATCTCGGATCTTTTTTCCACGCTCTTTTTGAATGTGTTCAGGCAGGCTTCGCCTGCTTCCAATCATTTGACCACTACCGTATTCTCTCTAATACTGGGGCACTCTCATTTACTCGGGCACTCTCTATTAGACGGGCACCTTTTCGAGAATCGAAGATGGAGGCTGGCTCCCTCGTGTGATTCGAAGGCCTAGAGGCCAGGGGGAGCATTGAGTCAGAACGATTTCGAAAAACCGCTCCTCCCTCTGTTTACCATGATCGCTGCGAGCATTGGACCGTCAAGGACCGACGAGCCGCAACGTGAAACGTCGCTCACGACATACTCGTCGAACTTTCTCTCGTCCTTCGGTGAGAATATTGGTCGACGACTGACGAGTATCAGTGAGCTCGGAGTCTGTGTTCGATCCGATCATTTCGAATTCTGATGGAATCCTCGGACGAAACTGTCGTTCCCCCGGTGCAGAGGAGATGCTAGTCGATCCAGTTCAAGCTCAATGTTGTTGCGTTCGCGGAAATCAACTCCAAGAAAAAAGCAGCCGAAAAATTCAAGATCAGGAGCAGCAGAGTTCAGGCGTGGGTCGCGCAGAAAGAAACTCTTCTGGAACAGAGGGGTTCGAAGTTCAGAGTGGAAGGATGTGGACGTCCTTTGAAAAACGGGGAACTCGACAATGCGGTGTTCAACTACGTTGAGGAGCAGCGAGCGAAACAGCTGCGAGTCACTCGGAGTATGATTCAACGCTATGCCCAGACGATCGGCCCTCCAGGATTCGCGGCCAGCGAGGGCTGGCTACAGAAGTTCCTTGTCCGGCATCGGCTCACCGATCGCCGAGCGACAACAGCGTGCCAGAAACCTCCGGAATCGTACGAGAACGCTCTCTTTAATTTCGTGATGCACTTTGCAAAGCTCCGAGAACGAAACGCGTACCGGTATCTCTTAGCGGCGGATGAGACAGCCGTTTTTCTAGACGCATCAAATAGCTGCACCGTCGCAGTATTAGGATCTGAGGATGTTCCTGTGTTGACGACAGGGATGAATGATGAGACGACCACAGCGTACCTACAGAAAATATTCGGGACTTCCCTCTTCGGCAAGCGTCTTCTGGTATGGGACAGCTTCCGTTGTCATGTCAGCAAAGGAACCAAGCGGACGCTCGGAGATCTGCGATTGAAAGCGGCAGTTATACCGAGAGGTTGCACGAAGTTCGTACAAGCCCCAGACGTGGACTGGAATGTTCCGTTCAAGGCGGGCATACGTCGGTCTCATGAAAACTGGATGGTTAATGGCGAAAAGACGTTCACGAAAGGAGGAACCCCAGCAGGACCCCCAATGTCAATCTACCTGAAACGGATAGGAAACGCTTGGAAAGAGCTCCCAGAGGAGCTCATCGCCAAATCTTTCAAGAATTGCGGACTAAGTGTGGCTCACGAATGATCCGAAGACGACCAGATTCTTCCTTTTCGACCGGACAAGGCGATCCCGCATGGATGTCCCGGCCTGAAAAAAGCCCGCAATGCCATGCGAATCGAACCGAACCTCGTAGATGTCGAGAACTCGGACGACGACGAAATTTACGACGACGAACCCATTGACCAAAACCTTCTCAGATGAAGATATTGATCGAAACTCATGATCTCGTCACGATCAGAGGGAGATGACGACTCTTTTCCTAGTAGTCAAGAAAAGAAGCCGATAATTCGCGCAGTCTGTGAATTCTCCGCTGATTGGTAGTACCTCTCCTCATGGCTGCATCCTACTCCTCTTCTAGGAATAGACCTCTTGTGATGAGTGCATCTCGAGTCATCTAACACCTCGTACAGACCTACTTCAAAATACCAACAATAGACAGGAGTGGATGCGCATTCATTCTTCCAATGGAAATGAAAATCACAGGAGTGCTCAAACTGTGACTTCAGCATTACGGGAAAAACTGGAATCACTTCCTAGTTTCGATGCCCCGGGAGAGTCCGGGAACGGGCACTCTCCTTCAGACGGGCACTCTCCTTTAGAAGGGCACTCTCCCTCAGAAGGGCACCCGTTCGGGATGTTGAAAAAATAGAGGGGCACTCTCTAATATTCGGGCCGTCTCTAATATAGGGGCAGGTTCCGGAAGCTCGGAAAATATAGGGGCATGCCCCACTATTAGAGAGAATACGGTATCTTCTCGCAGTCATATTTCAATGAAAGCGTTTTCATCCTCTCTACGGCTTTGATTTTGGCATTGTTGATGCTAATCATGGTTAGCATTCGTTTCGCCCATCTATCGTCGGGCATCTCTTGTGTGCGCTTGAAGTCTGTGATTTTACTCTTGGCTCCCCTCTCTTCGAAAGTTGACCAGCCTAGCTCTCCTTTCAAGGATTCATTGGCTAAGTTGCACGCTGGTTCTCCTAGCGCCCACCTCGTTGCTTGTCTCTGGGCTGACTCTATGTTTTTCCGTCGAGTATTCGACATGACGGTTACCGTGTCACAGTACATTAGCGCTGGAACGCAGGTGGCTTTCCACTGCATTTTCGTCGTTTCAAAGCGATTGAACTTCCACAGCACTTTAGCATGTAGTTGATATAGCGCCTTGCGCGTTCTCTCCTTCCACATTTTTTCCTGGTCCTCGAGATAGTTTGCGTCTGTGCTTAGATGTATGCCCAAGTATTTTCAAGCTCTTTTCTTCGGGATTATTTTACCCTGAATGAATAGGTTCTTATCGGTTGTGTCGTCTACCCGATTGAATTCTAAAACCGCAGATTTGGCGGGATTGAATATGAGGCCTCCTTCCTCACCGAAGGTAGACGTGATTTGGAGAAGTTTATCCATGTCTGACCACGTATGTGCGATCAGCACTAGATCATCCGCAAATAGTAGTCCAGGAATTTTCCTATTCTGTATTCTATGTGGTTGGAATATGTTTTTTGAGATCCGCACGTCATAGCCTTTTCTGGACTCGAGTAGTTGCTCTTCCAGCTCGGATATTGATGCGCTGGCGATGTCAGCGTTATCGTCCCTTCATTATCGGAACGTTACATTTTGGTGGCAGCGGTATGGACAAGGGAGACAGCCCCGGAGTCATTGACACTTTCTCGGCTCTCATGGAGCAAATGATCCCTGTCAGCGATCTACCGCAGTTCAATCCGAATGAACCAAAAAAATGGTTGAGACGTCTAGAGATGGACGGTGCGGTCAACCAATGGTCGGAACAGAAAGTCCTCCGACTCGCCTATCGGACCATGGACGACGAATCCAAAGACTGGTTCGTACACGCAGGTCCGTATGAGAACTGGAAGAACTTCAAGGAAGCATTTTACGGACGATTCCGGAAAGGAAAGAAGAAATCCCCGTCCGAATACTACAACCGGAAGCGACTACCGAACGAATCATTCACGGGATTCATTCGAAAGAAACAGTCATTGCTCCGGAAACTGGGTTCCCGGACTTCATAGACGAGATAGAGAACTCTTGTAATTCGATGGACTTCAGAAATTTCCTTATTTGCGCCAATCCGAAAGACTTCGAGGCATTGATGGAAGTTGCCGACAAGTACGAGGACCCGCAAGCGAAAATAGAAGCACCGATAGCTCAAAAACCGGGGAAGGCCGAAGGAACGAGATTGCCGAAAGAACCGGAGAAATCATCGAAAGTATGCTTCAAGTGCGGAGAGAGTGGACATTTCCGAGCGAACTGTAAGAAACGCAGCCAAAGGCTTCAACTACAGTGCATCGGAAATGATTCCTCCACTGACCCCTTCGAAACGCGTGTCAACTTCCTGGGAAGATACAGGATCGCTACGTTGGACACGGGCGCCGACGTGAAGGCGATATCGCCGACTATCCTTAACCTGAACGACCCAAGCCTCGATATCGTGAAAGCAATAGAGGAACCTCTCGTAACGGATGCTCAGAGGCGACCAATGAATGTCATCGGTGCTATCGAGCTGAAAGTCGACGGGGAAGAAGAACCGTTTTTTATCATCGAGAACTTATCAAAGGATGTTATCCTAGGAGAACCCTCCCTCAGCAAGTCGTTCAGTCTCGTGAATAAAGTCTCAGATAGCCAAACTTACTCACGGCTGGATACTACGTGTAAAGTTGAAGGCGGGACCGTAATTCCCCCAAAGGCGGCGGTATTCGTGAAAGCCCGAACAGATGAGCCATCAAGTACCTTGCAGTTGGATGGTACATTGAATTGCGCTCCTGGGAACCAAAACATAACACCATACAGCGTAGTGAATTCGAACAAAGGGGGTGACTGTGAAATTTTGGTGGTGAATCTCGAAGATTCACCCATCTATCTCAAAGACGCATCACCACTGGGACGAGTGCATAAGTCGATCCAGATAACGAAATCGGACAACAAGGGTACAGATACAGATTCATGTGTGCCGAAGACCGAATTACGACTAGGAGGAGAGCTGACGAAAAATCAGGAAATTCGCTTGACCTCATTACTCCGTGGAGAATTCGCAAACCTTTTCGGTCGGCCCGACAGCTTGTTTTGTACTGGTCTGGTGCAACACACCATTCAAACGGGAGACACGCAACCGATCGCATTCCCAGCGAGACGCCTAGCTCCGGCTCAGAGACAGACAATCGCCAAAGAAGTCAGCGACATGTTGAATGCTGGAATTTTAGAGCCTTCGTCGAGCCCCTGGGCGGCCCCAGTGGTTCTGGTGAGAAAGAAAGATGGTTCTATAAATTTTTGCGTGGATTACCGGAAATTGAATACGGTAACGAAAAGGGACGTTTATCCACTCCCACGGATGGACGATGCGCTCGATGCGCTCTTCGGAAGTAGCTATTTCAGTACTAAAATAGACTTAATGAGTGGGTATTGGCAAGTCGAGATGGCTCCAGACCACAAAGAGAAAACTGCCTTCTGCATTCCCGATGGGTTGTTCCAGTTCAAGCGAATGCCCTTCGGATTGGCGAACGCCCCAGCGGCTGATGGATAGGGTCATCGGTCCGCTCAAGTATCGTATGGCTCTCGTATATCTCGACGACATCATTATTTATTCCAAAGATTTCGAGACGCATCTGACTGACCTCTGGAAAGTTTTGACGGCGGTCCAAACAGCGGGGTTGAAGTTGAAAGCAAAAAAGAGTATTTTCGGCACGAGAGAAGTCACCTACTTGGAACATAAAGTCACTCCTCACGGGATAGCACCTGACCCCGAGAAGGTGTCCGCAGTTAAGGGGATCCTCCCGCCGATTGGCCTGAAACAGCTGAGGAGCTTCCTCGGATTGGCGTCTTATTACTGACGTTTCATCAAGAATTTTGCATCGATGGCCGCACCCCTGTACGAGCTCTTGTCCGCAACGACCTTCGATTGGTCGGCAGAGCATCAGCAGGTCTTCCAAAGCATCAAAGACACGATAACGGCAGAGCCGGTTTTATGTCATTTCGGAGATGGTCTTGAGACCAAGCTACGGACTGATGCAAGTGGAACTGGCCTGGGTGCTGTGCTAGTCCAGGTTTTGGATGGCAAGGAAAGAGTGGTCGCATACGCTAGTCGACGGCTCACGGAAGCCGAGATGAAATGCCACTCATCAGAAACTGAATGCCTAGCTGTGGTCTGGGCGATACAAAAATTTCGCCTTATTACGGTCGACACTTCACGGTAGTGACCGACAGTATTTCGCTGAAGTATCTCAGGAGTAAGACGAACCTCTGTCCGAAACTTGTTCGGTGGGCGATGGCAATACAGGATTACGACTTCGAGGTCGTGCATCGGAAGGGGATGGATAACGGAAATGCCGATGCCTTATCGCGGCTCTCAATCGCCACTCGCAGTGTCGAGCGCATCCACCGGAGCAACGTGCCGACCCTGCAAGCCGTACTCTTCTACGAAGCCCGTCTGAAGGTTACGCTGTTCGAGACCAACTTCTGTATCGCCGAGGTCGCCTCTATATTCCCAGCGTATTGATGAATGACGCAATCAAGTTTGGCCACGGAGACGGCATGGCGGGACACCCCGACATATGGAAGACTGGGAGGCGGGTGAATGAACGCTTCGACATCGGCAAAGGGTTCCTGGCCAAGGTCCGTGGTTTCGTTAAAGAGTGTGGTGTCTGTCAGCGCCAAAAACAGGAGACGGTGAAAACAGGGCGGCTGCAACCCGTCAAACCCCCGACCCGTCCTTGTGAAAAGATGGGTTTAGACTTCGCGGGGCCTTTCAATGTCCCTGGAGAACGCGCGTGGTATATCTTAGTGGTCATTGACTATTGTACGCGATACGTTCATCTGTACCCGACGAGACGGATCTCGGCTAGGTTTGTGGTACGCTCCCTGACCACGCTTATGGGCGTCATGGGTATGTGATAACTACTCCTACTATGGGGGATGGCTTGAAGGGAGGAATGTTCGACTTATTTCACCTCACTGATTTATTGGGCGAATACTCGATTGGACTGAGAGTCGCGCGTGCCGTCGGCTACGACACCCAACTCTCGACTGACGTCACCAGGGCCCGCGGTGACGATCGTGCAACGTGCACCTGACCACAGACGTCCCTGGTAGATTTCGCCTATGACATTCGACCACAGCTACCATTTTTGATCTCCCGATCAACCTGGATTGCCTAATCCTAACCCTGATGAGTAGCCTAAGCGAATGCCTAATTCCTATGGAAACGTCTGTTATTACTTATTACGTACCTAGTTGAGGACACTATCTAGCCGGGTTGACACTCAGTTTATAACGAGACCTTGAGTAAAAGAATATATTTATACATATATATTGCTATATTGATAACATCTTGGGGTAGTTCCCGTCTTGGCCTCTGCGGAATGCCCTCCGCCTGTCCAGCGTCGTCCGTTTCACTTCCGTAGATGGGAGTCGATCGAAAAATGTTGATTCGGGACCGGCACAGGGGACAGCACTGGCCCATAGTGCCTTCGGTGACCCAACCGTAGAGACAGCCCCAACACGACAGGTGGCCGCACGTGGTTATGACCGCATTTCTCGCCTCGCCCAGGCAGATGGTGCACTGCCATCGCGCCAGATCGGCCTCGCATTGCGGCACCTGCCCGTCCTCCTGCTCGATCGGGTGCTCTTCTGCCTGAATCACCTGCTCCTCAACCTCGACCCCCTGCTCGACGCCGTCGACTGCCTGCTCTGCCTCTTCGATGGCCTGCGCTGCCTCTTCGATAGCCTGCTCGCCGACTCCTTCCGCCGGTACTCCTTCCTCGGCCCGTTGCCCGGTTGCTTGTACCTGGATATTCACGCTGACATCCGCACGTCCCTCTCGCAGGATGGCCTGCAGTAGATCCACCGCTTCGTCCGATCTCTGCCTTTCAGTCCTCCTCGGACCCCTGTACCACACGCAACACCTCACGTAATGGCCTACCTGTTGGCACGCGGTACATATCGCGTCCCTTGCCCGACACCTCACAGACCCTGTCGCATGTCTGTTGTCTCCACAAGCTTCACAGTTTTGCTGCTGCATACTGGCCTGAGTACTGAGTGCTGGGTTCCTGAACTGAATTCTGGATCTAGGATGTTGATCGTTGAAGCGACGACGATGGAATGATCATTTCGGTCTTCCCTTTGCCTAACCTCCGTCTCAACTTGAGCTGTGATTCGTCGATGTCAGCGCCGTTTTTCATTAAAATACATATGTACTCGACATTTCTTCCTGTCGATCTTCTATCCGTCGTGCATATTCCGTACATCTCTGTTCCGTTCCCGACATGTGCCTGCCACTTTTCGCCATACATTTGACCCAATTCGCTCGGTCTCGCTACCTAAATGTTGTCCTCAACATTACTTAGAGTATTTTCCCTGAAAGCGTTTCCTTCTAACTGGCTGTTGCCCAGCCTGATCTGAGTGATCCTCTTCTCTACCTGGAGATTCCATAATTGCCGTGTTCAAATCTGTAGCTCTCCTCCTGACTGGCCTTAATTTTTCCGGTATACCTATCTGTATCTACGTTGATCTGAATTTCCGGAGATGATCCTGATGCTGATTCTGAAGACCTGTCGATCACTCGATCTTCTAAACCCTCCGGTTCTCTTGACTTCTCCTTCATTCGCGTTGACTCCCGAATTTCCTCTGTATCTGGCGCTGTTTCGAAGCTCGCCATCAAGGGTGTCTCCGCCGCTTCTCCGATGCCTTCGGTATTTCCGATGCCTGACTGATCCTGCCTTGGTTCTTCTTCGTTCCCATAGTCATCGTCGAAGGTTTCGTCGAATGGTATCGCATCGCCCTTTCATCCGTATTCACCTTGTAATAACGGAGCTGCGAACAATGGGCTGTACAGGTGTACTTTCTGTCGCCCAACTGAACAAGCCTATAAGTATCATTCGGCAGTACT